TATGTCTGCTCAAACTCAAACCACAGCATGTTGGTACCTGTTGGGACACAGTCAGCAAAAAGGCCCATTTCATCCTCAAACTGTGCTGTTAACGTTTCTGTCATTAGGATACAAAATGTCCTGGTTTACTGACTTTGCTGGGAAAGCGGAAGACTTCCTGAATAAAGTGGACCAGGGAGCTGCCACTGCCCTGACTAAAAACGAGAGAACATCTTCCTTTTCGTCGTCCTATGAAGAGGAATCCGTTATCAAACCCGAATACAACACTGCAGAATACAAGACCCATGTGGCTGTGACGCATCATGCCTATGCATCCTCTGATGATGCACCGAGCTTTGTCGCTGCAGCTGCTGCCAACATCAAGAGATCCAGTGGTCCCCTGCTGGCTGGTACTGCCAACACGGCCAATGTTCCCTCTGGTTCTCTCAGCAGTGCCCCCAACTCTGCCAAGACCTCATCTGGCTTTGTGAGGCCCAAAAAAGCGAGCGAGCAGGATGTGGACGACGACATGCTCTTTGACTTTCTGAACAGCTCGGACCCTCCAGACAGCAACAGGAGGGATTCAAGAAGAGAACTCGTGAAAGTGGCAGTTCCGGTTACTGAGGCCCAAAACCCAACACCTCCTCCTTCCAGCACTCCTCATACCGTCCCCTCGGCCCCGTCGACGCCCCCCTCAACCCGGGGTGTATCCAGAGCCTCCAGCATGAGCTCACTGTCTGCTCACAGCTTTAAAACATCGGAGGAGAGCTCTGCTAAAGAACAAAGCCACGGTATGATTAATACCTTACATATTACAGTTCATACCAATATGAATATTACTCTGGTAATAATAACAACTATGTGATTGATATCTGTGATTTCATTTAGTTTGTAATACACTAGATCTAAAGTGCTCGTTGCTCATGAAAAATTGTGAAATGAGAGAAGAAGTTGATGATCTGTTTATAATGCCACCCTATTGTGACATCAATATCAAAATATTATTTTATATGACATCTGGATATTATGAATGTGTTATTAGTACTCTTTATTATTGTCCACCTGTAGATGGACAGCTGCTCAGCACAATGTTTTCTCTTCACCCCCACCTGGCCACCACAGACACACCTGAGAGTTCAGACTCGGGCTTGGCTGTCCTGCTAGAGTCCAGCAGGCAGGAGACTCCCCCTCCTCCCCCCATAGAGGAGCCACAGAGCCACATCCTGTCCAGTTTGCGTCTGGAGAACCAGCTGCTGCGCAGTGAGGTGTCCTCCCTCAACCAGGAGATGGCTTCGGTCATCCAGAGGGCAAAAGACTTACAAGATGGTGAGAAATGAGGCACAACAGGAACAAAGATGACCTGCATTTCTGCACCTGTCCCTCTGAATGATTAAGTGGTTTTCTACTCATGCAGAATTGAACCAGGCTCGTCTACGTGCAGACAGATGGAACTCGGATCAGTCTCAGACCGACCGGATGGTACGGGAACTTCGGTCAAAGGTTGATGACCTAACGCAAACCCTCGCTGCCAAAGACGGTCAACTTGCAATCCTGAAAATCCGGCTTGATGAAGCCGATCAGATGCTGAAGTCCCGCTGTGCTGCGTTAGAAGACGCACAGATGGAACGGTCAAGGTGCACTTTAATAACCACCTTTTTGAAATAGAGATCAGATTCAGCTTTTTATGAATTGGTTAAGATATAATTTTCCTCGTCTGTTTTTTAGAATAGTGCAAGACAACACAGACGGGAGCAGCATGCATTCCCAAGCTCTTGAAACGATACAGGAGAGGCTGCGAGAGGCTGAACTGGCCCTCAAGAGGGAGCAAGACAGCTACCGGCAGATGCAGGTGCACATGATGCTTTTCATCTTCATTTATACGTGACAGTTAAGTCTAGACTGAACACGTGGAAATGATTAGACTTCCTGAATCCGTATTCTTGTGTAGAATGAGTTTGCTGGCCGCCTGTCCAAAGTGGAGGCTGAGAGGCAGATCCTCGCAGAGACGGTGACTGCAGCAGAGCGGCGAGCCGCAGAGGAGAAGCTCCGGGTCGACGACAGCCAGCTGCAACTGAAAAGTGCCAAAGCTGCAGCTGAGACTGCCAGACAGGAGTTACAGGACTACAAGCACAAAGCTTCACGCATCCTACAGGTAAAACTCGCTGTCTTCTTAGTGTCAGCACTTATTTTCCGTGTCCTTTTACGATTCCGTTTTTTTGTGTTATAAGGCTTTTTTTTGCTAAACTTAAAGGTTGTTGATAACATTTTAAATGGTCCTCTAGTCCAAAGAGAAGCTGATCAGCAGTCTGAAGGAGGGATCTGGTCTGGACACCCTGGACGGCAGCGGGGCCACGGCTCTGGAGCTGGAGGACCTGCGTCACGAGAAGGAACTGCATAGGGAGGACATCCAAAAACTACAGGGGCAAGTGCACACACTTCGGATAGAAATACAGGTGAGATGCTTTAAATGGCAGAAAAAGTGGTAATTCAAATGAATGTGATGCTGTATTGGTCCCTGTGTGGTTGATGGCTACGCTGGGAGGTCTGTAAATGCATTTGACTGTATGATGTGAGGAGCGTTTATGTTTTCTTTCTGACTTTGGTTTGAGGTTATTGTTTGTATACATTTAACATCTGCAGTTGAGACGTTGCTGTCGCAGCTGTACAAGTGAGACATGTTTTTATCTGGTAGGATTTGGAGAATCAGGCCCTGACGGAGGCAGAGACGTGGCGGGAGCAGCAGATGCAGTTGGAGGAGCAACAGGCCTTACAGAACAGGGCTAAACAGGAGGTGGAGGCTGAGGTTGAGCGCTACAAACAGGTACAGGGGCGGTGATGATTTCTTAAAATGGCAGATATAGCAAATTACAAACTGTCACAGATATATATTTTTCCTGAAACTTCATTCATAATTTCAACATATCTGATCCAACTCCTAATTTGCGTGGGATGTTTCTGTATTTTTCTTAAATCACAGGAGCTTCAGTACCTAGAGGAAGAGCAGCATCGAGCTAAAACCACTCTGCAGAGCAGAATCAAGGACAGAGAAGATGAAATCCAAAAACTCAGGAACCAGGTCAGTCCCAATCCTAGGGATGGGCCAACATCTGCTTTATGACAGACAGAAGCTGGGTAAATTTGACAAACGGTATTGATGATGTACTTCCAGTTGACCAACAAGACTCTCAGCAGCAGTAGCCAGACAGAGCTGGAGAATCGTCTCCACCAGTTGACGGAGACGCTGATCCAGAAGCAGACGATGCTGGAGGCTCTGGGCACAGAGAAGAGCTCCCTGGTCTTTCAGCTGGAGCGTCTGGAGCAGCAGCTGAAGAACACTCAGGGAGGACAAAGTGGAGGGCCGTCCATCAACATGAGTGGTCTGGAGGGACCAGGTATGAGGTTTAGATGAGGGTCAAAGTGTTTCTTATTTTAAAGTTACTGTGGGGGACTTTTAGCTGGTTATGAAACAGCCTCTATATGGCCTACATAAGTAAACGAGACCATCAGCGAAAAGATTAGCTGGTTCTGTATAGTTATTTTCATGCTTGTCATCGGTGCTATCGGGGCCTCCTGTACTGTGATGTACTGCTGTGGACGGAGGCAGCAGCAACATGTATCTATGCCCCTGATTTATACTGTGTGTGTGTGTGTGTGTGTGTGTGTGTGTGTGTGTGTGTGTGTGTGTGTGTGTGTTTTTTCAGTCGCACGACAAAGAAACACACCCGTGCTGTTCAGTGATCAGGACAGTCCAGGAGTGTATGGCAAAGTACGCAAGGCAGCTAGCACCATTGACCGTTTCAGGTAACATTTCCCAGTAGTGTTATTGTTTATTTTTGTCCTCACCATTACTGCATTGTAATTCTACTGTTTCCTGTGTAAGACATGATCCCCAGTAATAGATGGAATGTGTTGTCATTTCAGCATCAGACTGGGTATCTTCTTGAGGCGCTACCCTGCGGCCAGAGTTTTCGTTATCCTGTACATAGTGAGTATTTATAAAATGGTATGCCGTTTTTTTCCATCTTGATGAACCGTGGTTTTAATTTCAACTTCTGTTTACAGGCCCTACTGCACCTGTGGGTCATGGTTGTTCTCCTGACTTACACACCAGAAATGCACCATGGTCATCCTGATGGAAGATAGAGGGCTTGAATTTTAGAGTTGGGTGTTTTAAAATGTGTTTGTTCTACAGCCTTCAATGTAAGGATGGTACAAGCTGCTGGAATATGGGCTCTGGGTCCCGACTCTCCCTGTTTTGCACAGAAATGCTATAAATTAAAGACATTTCCTCTGATTTATTCTTTATTTTTTACAACTAAAGATCAATATCTGACAGGTGCTTTGAGTTTTAAAATAATTACAGAGTGATATATTATGTATGATGTATTGGTGGTCTGCTGAAAGGATATTAAATCTAACATGGTCGCACATCTGTTCTTCTCATCATCTGCTTTCAGACCTCTCGTCTCTTGGGAGATTGTATTTAACACTATGTAAAAAAAAAGAATCTTTTAATAAACAAGTTAGAAGAACCAACACAGCCTGGCACTTTTCTAATAGATTATGTTTGTTCTGTGGCTCAGATTAAGAGGATCTTCAAAGCTCAAGTCAGTTTACTGGTCATGAGGAGTGTGACTCAGTAACGCCTTCTGTGGTTCTGGAGAAGCTTTGTTAAAAAGCGCTGATCAATAACCTCATGAGGGTTATCACAACGCTTGTGTTACAATCTGGAGCTTAAAAGATATTTACTTAGACTGGAGTGTCTAGCAAAAAGATGCTATGGTTGCACTATGGGAAATAAATAGGGACTAAAAGTTAGGATATATCTGCCTCTACCAATTTGATTTGTACTGTTCTATCTCTCTTTTGGCTCCGCCAAATTCATGGAAGTGCAGTCCTAAATTTCTGATGCCCTCCTTTAATGATTATGGATTTCATTTAAACTAATTATTGCATTGCAGGTAATGTCTGTGTCTAGAAAGTCATAATTCACATCTATAACAGAATTTAAGACACACGGGCCAAAGCATACATTTCGGGCACGGTTTCATGTAAATATGTTCATGTTATAACAGAAGAGGAGGGGATGGACTGAATAATTGTATAAGAATCGTTCAGTGGAGCAATCGCTAAGCATTCATCTGAGGACTGCTGGTACTGTCATTGCTAATACTTCACTACTTTTACTTATTTAAAACCCTTGTCACCCATATGAAACAAATACACTCTTTTTATAATATTCTCTTCATACAATATATAATATATTATAATACATTTTATTTGTATAGCACATTTCAAGACAAACAGAATCCAATAATGTGACAATAAAATAATAGCATTATAAAAAGAAATACATACAAAAACAAACACAAACATAAGTATCAAATAAAATGAAGTGTACAATAAGATATTCAAATAATAAAACAATAGAATGTATTATTGGACATACAAGGATGTGGCTTGCCTGATGTAAATATGATGAAAAAGAAACGTACTCCAAGTCTCACATTGGTATATTTGTCCAAATCTGTAATATAAAGGTTATAGCTCAAAAATGTACACTGTAAATATTACATTTAGCTTTAAGTATTTTTTCTAAAAAAAGTTTAATTTACAAATATTTCCCATTTGTCATCTTACTAACCTTCCAAGAATAAAAACGGAAAACGAAATATAAGTATGAACACACTGTAATATTTACCTGCGGAAGACTGCGCCTGGCTTTCAGTTGGTGTTCTCTTTGGTTCCTGAACGCACCTTGAATCTGTTGGTCCTCCAGTATCCCACAATGCACCGCTGCCTTGTTCCGTGTCCACGTCAAACCTGACAGCCATCGCCGCAGCCGAGCAGATATGGCTGCAGTTGAGGTGGCACTTTCTGGACGCTGTGTTGTATAGACCGGCGAGAAACTGCTAAAAAAAAAACACCCCTCACACTCACCGTAGACGACACAGACCTCACCGTAAGGACGTAAGCTGAGGTATTAGCTTGTTTGACTGTGATACAACGTCGCTTAGCTTAGCTTTAGCCTGACACATTCTAGAAGGCAAAAGGATCAGCTGTTATTAGCCGAACCGGGGTCTTTGCTAAATGAGCGTCTGTCAGCCTGAAAAGCGACTTTGCTTCGGAAGATTAAAGTGGATTTTGAAGTTAACGAAGTCCCCGTAGTATAGAGTTTACAGTTCAGCTTGATGACCGAGTTTACTGCACCACCTCTGGAGTCAAAGCTAGGCTAGCCCCCCCCTGGTCCTCTTCGGCCCTGCTTTGTTTTGGTTTGTAGTCCTCCTCAAGATGTCATCCTGGCTGGGTGGAATCAGCTCCGGCCTCGGTCAGTCTCTGGGCCAGGTCGGCGGGAGCCTGTCGTCTTTCACCGGGCAGATATCAACCTTCACCAAAGACATGCTGCTGGAAGGAGTGGAAGAAGTAGGAGGTAAGTTTGTGTTCCTCTTTTTGTTTGTATCCCTTTGTTAGGAAGCCACATCGTCAGACTCAAGGTTTTCAGTTAAACAGCTGTAGGAAAGAGTGTTTTGTACGCATATGCGTGAGCTGGTTGATAGTTCCAGTGTATCAACCTTAAATTAAGGGTGCCTTTAGGTTCCCAGGTCCTGACATGTCAACAATTTTGTTCTTTAGTAAGATTGTAAACATATCTTTGTTGTCTTGGGAAGCAACAGAGAAAAACATTGAGAAGTTGAAGATTTCTTTAACAGAAAAATATCTAAAAGATTTATTGCTTACGTCATCAAAAAGTACCCGGTAACTGGAAAACCACCAACAAGGTTTGGCCGACTTAATGTAAGTGATGTGAGAAACCAGTAGACGCGTGTGTGTATTGGCTTGTTGGTGTTTTAGTGTATTAGCAAAGCCCTGAAATATAAATATCTTGGACTTAAGGAACACTGTGACACACTCCGCTGTCATAATCAAAAGCAAACATCAGCTCACACGAGAGAAACTTAAACATATTGTAATAATTAGATGGTGCTAGAAACAAATACACGTATACACTCAGTTGGCAGTTTACCAGGTACGACCAGCAAGAACTAATCCATAAATCAATAAGACGTCTCTACAACACAACAATATCCCAGCCTTCCAATAAGTTCAATGTTCTGTTTTTGTTGAAACTGTTTTTAGGTGTGAGTGGTTATATCCAGAGGTGTTGTTAATATTTTGTCCATCCTATTTGTATCAATGAGTGTAGACTAAATATCAGAAACACCTCTCAGTAAAACACAACGCAACTCAACAGCTCCACAAACTACATTCTCCAAAATGACCGTTAAGTTAAATCAACACTTCTTTGAAACAGTTTCAACAAAAAGAGCTTTCTTGACCCCGATGCAGCACTCCTTTATTTTTATACATTGTCTTATGTTTTCAAGATAATCGTGTTCTCGTGTGGAAAAGTGGATATATGTAAACAAAAATCCCCAGAACTTTCTATCGCTGCTCTGTTGACACTGAATGAGAGTTGGAGTACTTGAAAGACAATAGAGAGCTGTAGAGATGACGAATGTCAACGCAGGAAGGCAACAGGATTGTTCCGTTGGATTCCATCCTGAAAAGAAGCTCCGTGGCAATCAACGTCAACGTCGACGTTCTTCAGTCTCATTCAGCCACTTGTTTGCAACCGCCTTCTTTAAGACGCGTAAAAGCTTCAAAACTCTTGAGAGGAGTATTTACTGACGTATTTAATATCGTATAACAAGACTTTAAAACCTCTGAAGCTTGTGTTAACCACCGATCTTATTTCAGGCATCAAACCAAAAACCCATCGACTTCGAGTCGAGGGAACCGGAAGTGCAAAAATGCTGACTCATTTTCTGGTTTTAGGACTCATTCCTGCAGCACTCCATAACGCTTGTGTATAATTTAAAGTGTGTGGTGCCTTTTAAATACTCTGCCTTTCCACATCACTACTGCACTGCATTTCGGTGTCAGTCTTCAATGTACCATGCAGATGTGTAGAAAGAGACAGCTACTATTTCACAGTTAATTCCACTTCTGTGCTTCAAGCTAACTGAACAAACAGGATTGTAAATAGCTCTTTGTTAAACACAGAGGAGAGTCCGGCTAATACCAAGTCTGTGACACCTCACCATGGTCTCACTCTTTACAGTCAGGATGACATTATAGAATGACAATGAACTTGGAAAACAGATTGAAGACCTCTTACCGGGGTCAGCAGAGTTAAAGTGCTTTTAAAGGATGCACACAACACAAACTGTTTTGCATGTGCGACTGTAGCGTGGTTAAATTACGTGTGTTTTCAAATCACATTCTAGTGATGTTGATGCCAGATATTGAATTAAATTCATCTCTACACCTTGCTCTGGGCTCATGAGTATGTTATGAAGACACAATGCGATAATTATGGAGTTTCTATCAAAGAAGGTCCCCATCTCATTTGGCCAGTTAAACCCCAAAGTACCATCACTCTGAAGCAAACAGACGATGAGTGATAAAGTATTGACTCGACGAGAACTTTGACCGCAGACATCCAACTCGCAGCTCTACACAAACACCAGGAGTATGAATTCTTATCACTGAGTACGGAGCACAGCTGTGACGCTCTGTGCATGTCGGGCCTTACATCCATGGCTTAAGTTCATTTTAGCAAAAAGAAAATGACCTGGAGCTAGATTTGTAGGCTTCAGTTTAGTTTGTGTAGTAGTGGTACACGAGTGGAACACGTACGTGTTGGCTGAGCTTCGTCCAGCTGTTAAGGTCACATGACTCCGATATGATCTGCAGAAAGGTTTGGCCTGCTCAGCGTGTTTGTTTGTCATCTGAGTCGGATAGAGCAGATCTGTGTGTGAGACCAAGATGGAGAAGAGCAGTTAGTATCTCTTGAATGTGCTTGCAAGATAAACATGAAGATAAGTTCTCATTGTGAAATTCATGTTATCAGAAAACTGATAAAAAATCTCCTGTTTCTCTTTCTGTGTACATGAGAAAATCACGAAGCTTTGTTTGTGGATTATACTTCAACTGTAAACTGACTCGTGTATATTTTGATATTTTTCATATAACTGCAGACGCTGCCACAGAACTGCAGGTGTCCAATACCAAGTTGGTCGACATCGAGGCTGCATTTGCCTCTCAGAAATCTGAGGTGAGATTCTTTGTGCATTTATTCAGAGTCGAGGAGTAAAACTATAAAACCTCTCTCACCGTAGACGTGTTGACTTGTCGTAGCAGGAAAAGCACATCTATAACTGCTGTACTT